TAAAATTAAGAAATAAAGTGTGCAGCTAGGTCCCATCAAGGTTGAAGTAACATTTGCTTACTCCAAAACTCAAGCAGCAGGCACAAAAGGGCCTTTTGGAGAGGTGAGCTATGTAGGGAACTTGAGCATAACGGAAGAAGTAACCTCCAAGTATTACTGAGAAAGGACGGCCAAGACACAAGTTAAACTGAAGGAGTTGATGGAAGGAAATTCTGGGAGATACCATAACTGTGAAGCAAAACTAAATCATCCACAGTTGTCTTTGTACTGCTAAAACTGAAAACAATAGTTTATGCACCACAGGTGCTAGCAAAAAATTAACATCAGTATTCTCAAATAGAGGAGAAAGCTTTGGCTTATTCTCTAATAGCAATAAATGTCATGCCTTTATTGACAGGAAACCAATATTAGCAGAAACTGACCATAAAAAAACTCATTGGCAAGAGCAATGGAAGAAAACACTCCAAGTGTGTGATCTGCAAATCAAATACTCAGGGTGGAGTTGGCATTTGCAGACACTCTGTCTAGACCTTCTGCAACAATGCAATGCCTCTAAAGCCAGGATAATGTCTGGTACCTGTCAAGCTGCTAATGGAGGGCTCAGTTCAGCTCTGGGAGATGTTGTCCAGCACTTTCTCTCTCCAGGACCAGCATTCCTCCTGTGTCATCCCTAATGCTGCTGATGTGCATATGACCTTTTAGGTCGTGACAGCTGCTTAGGCACCGTTGGCCATGGCTTTCAATCCACACGTGAGCTATGCCCCATCCTGGCCATGCCAGAAAGAACCAAAATGGGATTATCCATTCTCGGAGCTCCTGCTCCTGACCTGAAGTTGGAGCAGATGCAGTCCTGCAGGTCCCATGTGAACCACCACTCGCAGGACAACCTTGCAGGTATCACCATGCTGGCCTGCACAAACACCTTCAGAGGATCTAAGAACTGTTTCTGAAGACAGGGCTCTCACCACCCCATGTTCCCACCCTCAGCCTCCTGCCCATGCCCGCGTACTTCAAGGCCATGTCTGAATCTTATCGGTATTTTATATTTTGCCTCTTTTTCCCCTTCCTGCCCCTAACTGTAATTCCTTGAGCAACTTCATTCTTTAGGTCAGACAGGGGGGTTGCATTACACCAGGATACATATCCTAAAGATATACAGAAGGGCAATGTGGCCTCATCTGTCAAAACTGAAGGCTGGCGTGTTTCTAACCAAGCTTTCCTTGAAGTTTTGCTAGTGGCAGTCACAAACAGCTCTGAGTAGCCTCTCTCCACCCAAACCCCACTGAGGAGATGGGGATGCTCAGGGAGTCACACATCATCATTCTCCTCCCCATTTCAGATGAACCAGTGGCAGTAAGGGCTGAAAGGTGGCCTGAAAAATGTCTGTGGTTCCAACACAGTGGAAGATGCTCAAGCAGCAAAACAAAATAGCTCCCTTGCAAGCCATGGAGACAGCAGCCTTAGCCACAGGCTGTCAGATTCCCTTTTGAACTAGCCTGACTCTGCCCTTTTAAATTTCTGATTTGCAGCACACTTTGTGCAATCAGCCCTGTGTATTAGTAGAAGATTAGGAGTGGCAAAATTATTCTTACTGCATCTTAAGCAATGCTTAAATGAGACTGCCTCTTCAGGCAAACATATTCTTTATGGGTATTTAAGCTTGTAATCATTATCAGTTTCAAGCTAAGGGCAGTTAAAAATTAAAAATACACATTCTTCATATGACTTTCTGCATAAAAAAAAGAAACATTTATACAGTGAATGACAAGAAAAGGTAAGGTAAGGTAAGGTTTGGCCCCAAAGAATTTGGCACAACACCATCAGACACACTGTTTTCTCAGGAAGGTGAAGTTCGGTGCTGCTGGGAAGGTTAGTGCTAATGCCTCACTAGAGGAATGGCGCTTGGTTGCAGGAGGCAAAGGTTTTCCAGGACAGTTTTGCACACGTTTCATGTCTTTTTGTGATGCAGTCCATGTGCCATGTTCCCAGGTAAGCACATATGCCACTAAACCTGAAAACAGGACTTTGGCGTACAAATCTGTTTTGCACCCTTAGCCCATGGCAGCCGTGCCGCGGGCAGTGGTGCAGCACACCTTTCTGGTGCAGAGGCGTCAGCGGGAGGTTTGCTGTTGAATTCAGCGAGAGCAGAGCTGGAAGGGAGAGTGGAGGGGTGCGAGCAGCACTGGTTTAGAAAAAGAGCCCTTACCATGAAAGACCTTAATCGCATTTAGCTTTCTGAAGGGAGGCTTGATATACCTTAGGGAAATCACTTACCCTATCTTTGCTGCTCAAAATGAGAATAAATAACACTTCTTTCCTCCTGTCTTCAGAAACTGGCAGGCTCGTAGAGACTACAAATCCCCTGGTTCTCTTGTTAGGCCACTGTATCGTAGTTTGGACAATACAGCCATGACTTCTGCTGTAACATTAAGCTGCTACCATTAAATGAATGATAAAGTAATGATGAATTAAATACACATTACTGTAGAGATAACAATAAATTATACATGCACCTGCTACTGCAACCTCTTCTGACTTGGAGGCAAGCATCAGCTTTCTGATTCCTAACAGCCAGCTTTACAGAAGTAACATGGGTCGTATTTTTTACTTATAATTTCTTCATTAAATAACAATGCCATGCATTATCTCTGAGTAACAAGAAATGAAGTCAAACTACTGAAAGAAAACTATTATGTTCCACCTTAGAATGACATTAAATATTTTTTGGCTATTTTTAGATATAGGAACTCAAATGAAAAGGGCATTTTAGCAACAAAAGAGCTGACAGTAGATGTGATCAGTCATACAACTCACTGCACAAGGCTGCTCTGAGATGCTCTGCAGCCTTTCTCCAACTCTGCAGCTCTGCTTTGGGGAACACGTTGCTCTGATTCCTCCAGTTGCTGTTGCAAAGTGACGCCCAGGAGATTTTTAAGCTCTTGGCCAGGTACCCCAGGAAAGCAGCCACTCTGGAGCAAGAATATTTTTAGGATTTGGTAACAATAATTTGTTTCAATGCTTAGTTAATATCTACTTTCTAGATGCCAGAGTTTTCTCTAACCTATGCACGCACCATTACTCATTCCTGAAATGGAAGATCTGTGGCCCATAGAAGATGTGCATCGTTCTTTCGAATAGTTTGAAATTACCCTCTCCATTCTCATTGGTACGTGTAGCTCTTCTTTGCTGCCGCTGGTGCGTTGTTTGCTGGTTGCAGGACTCAGTTTCGCAGCGTCACTGCCAGACGCCCAGCCATCCCCGTGTGGTTATGGGTTACCCTGAACCTGTCGAAAGCATCTCACCCATGCTTACCGACGTGCTTCTGACACAGCGAGGGACACGGGGACGCATTTGCCTGGTGACTGGTTTCACTCAGCTGATGGCAGCAAGGTTTGCTGTTTGATTGACAAGAAAAGGTAAGGTGAGGTTTGGCCCCAAAGAATTTGGCAGAACACCATCAGACACGCCGTTTTCTCAGGAAGATGAGGTTCGGTGCTGCTGGGAAGGTTAGTGCTAATGCCTCACTAGAGGAATGGCGCTTGGTTGCAGGAGGCAAAGGTTTTCCAGGACAGTTTTGCACACGTTTCATGTCTTTTTGTGATGCAGTCCATGTGTCACGTTGCCATTTTAACACATACACTGCTAAACCTGGAAACAGGACTTTGGCGTACATTGAGTGCCAGCGGTGACGGCACATGCCACCGAAGGCAGGACACTTTGCTGCAGCACTGAGACTTCCACTGGCTCCCTGCTCTGGCAGCTGTACCCAGAAATTAATGCCCAGCACTGAGCTCCCCGAGGTGCTGGTGGGGTTTGGGCATCACCAAAAACGTCTGGTTAGCAACAAACATCTGGAAAGGATCCTCTGTTGGGGTGAAGTTTTCAAGCTGCTCATTTTTAGCCAGAGGGAGGGTGTCTGGTACACCAGACTGGTGGCCTCCAGTCTGGTGGCCTCACCAGGCTATTCACCTCCGACCATGCACACACCTGGGAGAGGCGGAAAGGAGGAGCTGTTCCCCTCTGGCCTGGCTGCATTTCCCTCTTCCAACCCCACAGGAGGTGCTGCCACCATCCCGCAGGTTCAGCCCCCGGGCCGAAGACCATCCTGTGCTTTCCCAGTGCAAGAAAGCAGCTTATCTTTCTCTGCAACTGTGATCCCACCTCATTCTCTCTTTCTGTCTTGCTCTGACCTGTCACTGAGTTCTCAGCTCCTCTTTAAAAAGGGCAGAGGCAGCGGCTTCTCATAGGGGCAGCTTTTTGGGGTCCATGAGGACAGGACACTCAGAGCACTAGGAGAGTTTGCCTGAGCAGAGACTGACATTTCTGGAGCCAAAGGTACAGCTGGGATGCCTGATCTGATGCCTCTGAAGCATCCCCCTCATCTATTATAACCTATCTTATTAAAAAATAAATTTTCAGGTGTTCTTTTGGGAACAATTTTTCACTTAGGTGTTTACTCAAAGGATGGTCAAATAATATAGTTAAGGAATAAAGAGGCACCATGCATGCTAACGTGCAACACTTGCTTTTATTTCTGTGTTATTCTTTTTGGAGACTTTTTCAATACTATGAGTTTTAATAAAGAAGCAATTCCTAAAATGAACTCCATTACACACCTGTGATTCAGAATAACAAGTTCATTACATGTCTTTTCACCTGACTGCAGAGAAAACGGATGAGATGTAGACTTATTGTCACACTACAGTGAAAGCCACCTGCCTCCACCTTGTAGGGGATTTCCCACGAGTGACATACCTGGGCTAGGTTCTCGTTTCTTTGATCACCCTCCTTCCACCACCAATCAGAGATCCTGACTTTTGTCTTTGTCTTACAGTTTCTACAAACCGTTGGGGAAAGTGATGTGGGGATGTCGGGTGTTCTGTATTTGACTATGATAGCAGAAGACTTAGGCCTGTTGCCTGAAACAGTGCAAAGAGAGCATTTAGGGTGGGGAGCTTGGAGTCCCACCAAGGTGTTTGTCACTTTCTGATAGCGACATCTCACTCTTTTTCTTGCAGCAAATGACTCTTGGGGCAGATGAACAGTTTCACAACTTTCTCTTTTATCTGTTGTGTCCACACACCATACACAACAGGCTTCAGCAGTGGGGGGAAGAGCACGTACAGGTTGGCCAGCAGAATGTGGATGTGGTGGGGGATTTCCCAACCAAAGCGGTGCGTTAAAACAGTGAAGAAAGCAGGAATACAGAAAAGTAATATAACACAGACATGAGAGCCATAGGTGTTTAAAGCCTTGTGATGGGCAGTCCTGGAAGGGAGTCTGAATAATGCCAGAAGAATTAAGATACAGGAGACAGCAATGAGTACAACATCTACCACTAATCGCTGCAAAAGGCACTGCGAGGCCATAAAAGATATTGATGGGGGTGTCAGCACAGGCCAGCCAGGTGATGCCCATGTGCTTGCAGTAGGTGTGCGGGATGACATTGTGCCCGCAGAACAGCAGCCTTTTCAAAGGAAATATACATGGGAAAATGATGCAGAAACTTCTCAGCAAAGCCACCAGCCTGGTTTTGACAACGGCTGACTGGGTTAGCACTGCCGCGTAGCACAGGGGGTAACAGATGGCAACAACCCAATCAAACACCAGCAGGGTGACAGACTCTGCCGAGAAGCTGAAATGCAGGAAGAACATCTGGGTCAGGCAGGTGACAAAGGAAATCTCCCCGGCACAGAACCAGAACAGAGCCAGCATCTTGGGCAGAGTCATGGTCGGCAGCATCAGGCCAGCGATGGCCAGCATGGACAGGAAGAGGTACACGGGCTGGTGGAGGCTATGTTCTGTCCTTATGACAAACAACACAACACCATTTCCTAGCAGGGCCGCCAGATACATGGAGCAGAATGGGATCGAGATCCAGATGTGCAACTTCTCCATGCCTGGGATGCCAGCCAAGATGAATGTTGCTGGCGCCAAGCTGGTAAGATTGAATGGTGGTACGTTTCACCTGAAAGCAAAGGCAGAAGACACTGCAGAACGTTATTTTAGATGCTTAAGCTCCTCCATCACTACCAAATGTCTTGTATCACCTTCTCTGATCTGCTAATAGCCACAGCCAGAGGTATGAACCCGAATTATGACGACCCGTGGTCTGCAATGTGCTGCAGCATGTACTTATACTCCTATTATGTGTAAATGGCAATGTCCAAATTTTCTCCTCACTCGATTTTAATACGATGTAAGTGTATTTTTCTTCCAAGTATTTCCACTTAGACCAGAGTGAATGGAGAGACAATCAACTCTTATTGCACAAATACCTTAAATTGATGTTCTGTAAGTCCAGAGTAGAAGGAAGAAGTTGGGCAACGAGAGAGGAAAGGTCAAGTGTTTGCAGGGATGCACAAGATGTTCTCAGACTTCAGGAACTGCAGAGGGGATAATTGGGAGTTTTAAGGTACCTGGACTCACACTAGGTTAGAGAACAAAATTAGCTCTAGGTTTGAAGTTGGCTGCCCATGTTCCTTCCTTCTCCAAACTTCTCTCTCCCTTTCCTTTTGGTTCTGGAACCCAGTTCAACTTGCTTTGCACGTCTTTTTCAGTGTGAATCTAGCAGAAATAAAATTTAACCAGGCACTTGGAAAGACCTTTGTGTTAGGGGAATACCTGTGTGAGATGGAGTTCCTCCCTCCAGCCAAAGAAAGGGATGCCCTGGAGAGGTCTAAAGAGCGCTGGAGGCTGGATCAGACCCAGACTCACACAAGTTAAAATGGGATGTGACTTCTTCTCAGCAGCTTCTGCAATAACAGTCAGATCTTAAATATAAAAACTCAAAGTAGGAATTGCCCATAATGCAGCCAAGATGAGAAAGTGATGCAAGTGCTTAAAAACAAAACTGTGAGGTTGCTGCATACCAAAATATTGACTCCATGTATGAGAAAGCAATTGTATTTTAAATAACAGATTTGATTCCCTGTTCACGCTCAGTGAGAGAGAGACACATTTCACATCTAAAATATCCTGAACCAAGAAAGTCCAAGGAACCTGCTCCGTAGAAACAAAACATGACAGTGGACTGTCGTTAAAAACAAAATTAGTCAAAATAATAGCTATCTAATTCTTTAAATGATTTAAAACAATTCAGCATAAATATTGCATGAAATAAAAATATATGTGATGTATTAACAGACAAAATATTATTAATGCTGATAGCATATATATTCTGTGCTGCCATACCAAAAGCTAGTCATCTCTTGCAAAATGCAAATGTTAAACTGCAAATAAACAAGGATCCACGGCACCTGCAAGTGGGAATTCCAGTGCAACCAGGAGCTCTGCACCAGAGGAGCCTCTCAGCATTAGACCCCCTTCCTCCAAAATCTAATCGCCACTGTAAAACTGTATTAATACAGATACAGCTCTAAGGATGCATCTCCTACAGCTACCCCTGAGCAGTCCCTCGGATTCTTCTTTCCTAAAGTCTTTTAATCCTAATTTAAACTAAAAGCTATAACCTAGAAAAAATCACATTCCTACAGAGCTGCCTAAGGATTACAAAAAGGCCTGCAGAAGTCTGTTGGCATCACTGCAGGCGGCTTTAGCTGCAAGCACCTCTGGTTTGCCCTGCACGTCCCCAGCACCCAGCACAAGGGCTCTGGTTGAGGATGCGGCTTCCCGGTGCTGCGGAGGGCGAGGGGATGGAGCCCCTCTCGCTGCCATCCACGGGGGCAGCCTCCCCCACAAATAATCAGCCTTCAGGAGAGAGGTTAGGGAAACAAAAACAAGGTGGAAAGAAAGGTTTCATTGGTGATTCATTGTCTCCTAACAAGAGAATGAAAATAATAGAAGTATTTCTCTTGCATGGCCTGAGCACGTTGGCAGCTCTCCCGCAGGAGCAAGATGTGGGATGCTGCAGCTGACCCAGGCAAGCTGCGGGCACTGGCCAGGGCAGTCCAAGCTGGCGTTACCTTCGTGTACCTCACCCCATGTGTGGTTTACTCCTGCCTGCTCGTGCTGCCCTGTCGTCTTTAACTCAGCAACTCCAGCTCTCAAAACCACATAATCTCAGTTAGAGAGTGGTTGATCTCACAGGTAGGCAAGGGAAAGCTCTTCACATGATTATTGTTAATCGGGAATTTGGCATCTCTGCGCCAGAATCTCAACGTTCTAGAGATCCTTCTGGCCCCAGATCCACAATGCAAACAGCTCGCTAGATCCCTGACTTTAAGAGGAACCGGGGTCCCTGGCTGCGCTACGGGCAGGGGCTGCAGTGCCGGAGCTGGGGCGGTGGGGGCACTTGTACCTCTCTGCAGGATCCCAGAGGACGGAGGAAGCACTGTGCCCTGCTCAGCAGCTCTGTAAGTGCCCTTCCAGCTGAGGAGACATGCCCTGGGATGTCGTTCCCCCACTCCTCCAGCCCCACCTTTGCACCACACACATTATAAGCATGTTGCTCTCTGCAGACGCACTCGCAGGTCCCTAACGCGTGGCTCTGTGCCTGCCCTGCCTCCCTTCCCACCAAGCGCACAGTCATACCCGTGCTGCTTTGCATCTCCTGTCCTCGGGGCCCTGGCTGGACTGACGTGATGTAGCTGCAGGTTATGGCAAGACACAGTCAAGCTTTGGAAAAACAGGCATGACAAGTCCTAAAAAAGCGGTCTGACTTATCAAAAGTGCCGACCATCCAGACGTACAAACTCGACGCAATCACTTTCGCAAATATCTTAGCACATATATCTAAATAGCAATCCATGTTTTGAATAGATTATTGAGCATGATACATAACACTTTTGGTGATTAATGCAATAAAAGGAATTTGGAAGAATTTCCCCTTAGCAATGAGAGAGGCAATCTGTGGGCTGTGCTCCTCTAGGGGATGGGAGGAAGAGTTTGGGGGTTAGGAGCCCTCCTTGGATGAATGACTGGACACTGCCCGCATTTCCCAGGTCAGTCGGTGACCACCCCTCCCTTCAGCCCCTCAGGAATCCCACCATACATAGGGTTAGAAACACATTAGTCTGCAGGAACTATTTTCTGCAGGCTGAATCATTTCAGTACAAATTAGCCTCCAAGCAGAGGCAGCTGTGGATGTCAAAGGCTCAGCAGCACACCCACACCTGAAGAAACACAGGAAGATTTTGACCATAAAAAAAATAGTTCCACAAGAGCAATTGTGGAGCACAGCATTCGACACGCATAACAGGGTCCCCCCCAACATCCTTCTCTCTAAACTGGAGAGGTATGGATTTGATGGGTGGACTGTTTGGTGGATGAGGAATTGGTTAGATGGTCGCATCCAGAGGGTAGTGGTCAACGGCTCAATG